AGCGCCACTCAGCCAGAAGCCGGCTCATGGCTGGCCAGTGCAGCTGCAGTGGTAGGAGCCTCTCCTGCCTCCGTGGCAGCACTAAGGATGTCCGACTAATGGCCTAGGCCCACTCACCACGGGGAGCGGGCCTAAGCCATTAGTCGGACATCCCACAAGGGCTCCCAGGCTACCAGAGGGATGTCTGACTGCCAGCTTAGGCCTGATCCCCCAGTGAGGGGTGCAGAGCTCTTGCCTGCCTTTCCACAAACAGCTCCCTGCCAAGAAGTGTGTCACTGGGGGAAGGGAAATATAGCCAAAGGCCCAGGGGACTGGCCCCTTCTCCTAGCTTCCTCTCCAGGACACACAGGACTTTCTTTCTTTGCTCTGGTCCTTTTTGCCTGTGGCTATCCCTGAGATCCAGAGTGAGTTTTGGATTTGAATTTCTCCATCTACCAAATGGGAATAATAGTGCAGCTGCCTCCTGGGAGGAAGTGGAAGTCAGTGAGTCAGCTCAGGTTAGGAGCTGGGCACAGAGCTTGGCATGTGGGGGCTGGGGGACAAGGCGAACACCCTGCAGTGCTGGCCTCACCCACAGGCCTGGGGTCGGCCTGGCTGTTCAGCTCTCAGAAGCACCTGGACAGCCTCAGGGTCTGCATGTTCCTGGACCAAGTTTACTCTCATCCCATTGATCCCTTTTCTTTGCTCCCAAATAGCCTCCTTGTTTTGGAGTTATACATTTACAAAGAAAGTGTGGCCTCCTCATGGCTTGCTCACAAAGGGTGCCAGGCCCGTACCTCCCTCCACTTCCAAACTAAGCGGTCTGACATCTGAGTGAGAAGTGAGGCATCTACTGTGTCCCCGTAAGAACAGACCTGCCTGGTTGTCTCTGCTTATGCCGAACTCTATCATATAAAGCAAATTCCCAGGAGAGTTTGCACACATTCAGGGATCTGGGTGCCTGAGGTGCTGAATTCATGAAAGGCGCTAAAAAAGGGAGCAATGAGGGCAGCAGAGGTAGCAAAGAACAGCTGCACGAATGTAGCCATCAGTTCATGCAAGGCAAACCCTTGAAGAGGGATCAGGAGGGCACAGGCTTCCAATTGCTGATTTTATAGCCACTCAGCCCCCAACTGAAATCTGAGTCACCAATCAGGGCTGTTAAACCAGGGGCTCCCCATCCTGCCTCCAGCAGCCTAGTCAGTGCCAGTGCCCTGCAGGGGAGAGGGCAGCCCCATTGCACCATCTCCCGTTGTGCAGAGAAGTTTCCAACCCAAAGCAACAATTTTTGAAAAAAGATTATTATTGATTTCAGAGATGAACTGAGAGAAAGAAAGATATAGAAACACCAATGATGAGAAAGAATCACTGATCGGCTGTCTCCTGCACACCCCCTACTGGGGATTGAGCCCACAACCCAGTGTGTGCCCTTGCCTAGAATCCAACCTGGGACCCTTCCGTCTGCAGGCTGATGCTCTATCCATTGAGTCAAACCAGCTAGGGCCAAAGCAACTGTAACACTCAACTACAGCTGCCATTAAAAAAGGGAAACCAGTTGCCCAGTGAAAACATTCTCAACTCCGGCCCCTCCCTCAGTAAACTTCTTGTCAGGACCAAGTGTGGGGCCCCAACTTGTCTGTGGCTTGAGGATCCAGCTCTCACTTGTGGGAGCTCTGAGTTGCAGGAGGTTCCGTTCCTGGGAAGTTCCTGGGGCCCCACAGCTTTGGGCATTAAGGTCCCAGCAAAGCATGGTGACCAGGGCAGTCATGGGATGGGGCTTCTATCAGTTGGTCAGTGTGGGCTGGTGGTGGGAGGGGTGGGAGGTGCCCATTCCTGTCTCCCAGGGGCTTAAGCTCCTCCCACTGCCCCACATTAGGTGACCAGGGCTTCTTTGGGTGATACTGCTGGGTAGTGGGTCTCTGGTCCAACTACTCTTCTGGAACCATAGACTCTTTTACCATCTACCATCCCTGAGAATTCCCAGGCCCCACCCATCCACGTTCCCCTCAAGTCTTTCCCTTCATCCACTTCCCCCTCTCTAAATCTCTCCCTCTCTTTATGGTGACATTCTCCTCCCCTTTGCTGCTACCAGAGGACTCAGGCCACCTTTCCTCCCATCACAGTGGTCAGGAGCCTGACTAGCAGGTCTCTCTCTGAAT